TTGCCAAAACTCCCCTAAGGAGCCAAAGCCAGTCACAGTTGCAAACCACTGCCATACGTCTAAGTCATACGTCTAAGTTGAAATGACCATTAAAAACTAACAGCTCTAATTCATACTCATCAGCTGCGAAGCAGCCGCTAATCCTATCCTGACCCCCACTTGCTCAGGAAATAGGAGTCAGGTGGGGTTCTGGCTGCGGAGGAGCCCCTCAGTCTTTACACAGACAGGCGCTTCTGACTCCTGGCCATCTGAAAGTCCCTTCCCTCCCCTCCCCCGAGGCTGCACTTTTTTCTCAACGCCTTCGCTCCGTAAGGCATCATTCAGAGACAGGTGCTGATGAAGAAGAGCACAGCAGCCTGAGTTTATTTTATTTTTATTTATTTTCTTTTATCTTTTTGATAAAAAAGGCTGGAGCTCAGTGGCACAACTTCAGCTCACTGCAACCTCGAACTCCTGGACTCAAGCAATCCTCCAATCTCAGCCTCCGGAGCATCTGGGACTACAGGCAGGTGCCACTACACCCAGCTAATTTTCTTTTACTTTTACTTCTTCTTCTTTTTTTTTTTTTTTTTTCTAATTTAGAGACGAAGTCTTGCCATGCTGTCCAAGCTTATCCCAGGCTCAGGCAATCCTCCCGCCTCAGCCTCTCAAAGTCTCAGATTACAGGTGTGAGCCACCACGCCTGGCTCAGACTGGCTTTAAATCTTGGCTCTTCTACTTACTAGCTGTGTGGCTCTGGGCAAGTTACTAAACCTTTCTGTGACTGTTTCCTCCTCTGCAAAGTATAAGAAAATAGTACTAATGTAGTGAGCTGTGAGACCTGAGAGCACGTGGGGAAAGCAGCCAGCCCTGGTGCCCAGTAAACCAGAATTCTCTCACTGCCATGTGACTCCAGGCTGCTAGGGATGGGATAGTGCTTGGTCCCAGCACTCAGGGTAGCTTGATTGTGGTAATCATTCCACAATGTATAGAGCAAAACATCATGTTATATACCTTACAAACAAATAGAAACATTTAATATGTCAAGAGAAAAATAAATAAAATTGTTTCAAATAGCCAAAAGAAAAGAAAAGAATCAGCAGCATCTATAAACTTTTCCGTAAAGGGCCTGGTAGTAAAGACTTCAGGCTTTGCAGGCCAAGCTGTCTCTGTAACTACTGTTTAAAAGCCTGCAGCAGGCCAATCTGAGACAGATCTTTGTATTGTTAACTTAAATCTCCCAATAAAACATGGCTATTTTCTTTTCATAAAGTCTATGTGTATATTATTAAGTTAAGTTGAACTGTCACCAAGAATTTTCTTTTTCTTTTATGTTGTGTTGTTTGGGGGATGGTACATTTAAAAAAATCTCTCTGTGTGCTCTTTTCCAGCAGTATGTAGCTGTAAGGTCAAGGAATTTTAAATACTTGTATTGCAGTCTCTTATTGAATTTGTTTCTGCCTGATTCTTTTGAATTACTACCTGTATTCGACAGCTCACAGCGAACTGAAAAATAACACATTCATTCACAGAAAAAAAAAAAAGTACAAAATGGTACATAATTTTTTAGATATCTGGGTATTTGGTTTACTGTATTATTAAACATCTGCCTATAAACCAAAAACACTGTTTTATTGATGTAAGTAGGGAAGCGTAGATATGGAGAAACCCGAGAAAGTGGAATCGTTCTGGAGGGTGGGAACTTACGAGAACTGGTGCTAAACATGCCTGAGGGCTGCAGGCAGCCTGCGTTCTTAGATTTTAATCGGCCCATTGGTGGCACATCCCTGGTCACAGGTGTCCTCTACTCAAGCAACACAAGCAGCATCACCAGACCCACAGAAAGAACCGGAGGGAACCAAGGTCCCCACAGAGCACGGCAAGGTGCAGAAGAGGCCGAATGTCCCAGCAGTATCAGGGATGCAGCCTCCCCGTGAACCTTCTCTCCTGGTCAGACAGAAAACAAGAAAGTAGGGCAGGGCTTCTGGCAGCCTGGACACGTGGACAGGAAATGTCAAAGGGAAGGTAGCAGAGAGATGAGCTCGAGGAGGAGCATGGCACTGCACGTCAGCGCCTTCATGACCGAGCTCGGTGTCGCCTTCCACCTGTGCCACCCCCTCACTCCCCAGACGCCAGCAGACGGGTCTCATTCCCGGACCTTCACACGGTTCCACCACGTCCTGTCTCAGGCACCCGTTGAGCCACAGGACAATCACCTCTCGGAGGAAATTCAACGCAGGTACAAGGCTCTCGTCTATTATACAGGCCAGATTAACATCTCATCAATTGTCCCAATAACATCCTTTATAAATCCAATGAGAAATAAAAATAAAACCCTAAACCTCAATGGACTGAACAGACCCTTTCTAGGTCAAGGGGACCCCAGAGAAACCTTAAAAACTGAGTTTCCGGCCATGATGGGATGGGAGATCAGACATACCTCAGTGTGTCCCCTCCTCATTAGCCTTTAATTTGAATTATTTCCTAAGGAGTAAGCAGAAATCAGCACTGGAAAACAAGAAATGAACAACTCATTTTTTTATGGCCATTGGTCAATCATCTGAGGCCAAGACCAGACTCCCCCTTCCGTCTTTGCATTTCGATGTGACAGCTCAGCAGCTTCACAAGGCATCCCTGCCTGAAAAGCGGCCACCATCTCTGGACTGGTTTTGGCTGACATGCGGAGGGTGCACAGTGAGGGTTTTTGTGACTGCTTCAGCTTTTGCCATCACAGGGCTGAAAATCCACCTTGGGAATCATGCAAATACCATCATTTTTTTGAATATGCAACCCATGAAGAGGCATGAAGCTCAATTATACATGTATACAGTTCATTCATGAATATTCATGACTGCTCCTATGGTTTATTACATATGTATACTTAGCCAACCCATTCAGCACGGATTCCTGCCTTATGCTTCTCCTCTCAAAGTAACTCTTTCCAGCTTCTATCAGAGGCTACAACTCCCAGCCTGTCAGCATGGCCACCCTGCAGGCCTTCTTCTAAAGGCCTAATTTTCTAGCTGGGCCTTTAGAGAAACAAAGCTCTCCTTTGCAAATTCATAAGCCAGACTGAATGTCTAGTTGACCCCTGAGAACATACGGGACCATCTACTGCCTTCAGCTGTCCTGCTTCTCAAGTCTCCTCTGTCGGGGAACGATTTTCTAGTATTTTCCCCCTGTTTCTCATGATATTGATATTGTCAGTGGTCTTATAGAATGCCCTGAATTATGGATTTGTCTGATTTTTCCTCTGATTACATTCAAAGCATGCATTCCGGGCAAGAATACCATATACAGGTGCTGGCATCCGCTCTGCACACAGGGTGTCAGGAAGGGCATGATGCCAACTTGTCTCGGTGTTGGTGGTAAGCATATGGTGAGAAAGGTGCTGATCAAATTTCCTGATTAATCCCTGCAATGGTTCACACCAAACACTCTCCCCCAGTGGCTGTAGGATTCATTGATGATCTTTTCCTGAAATAGTTGTGACTGGGGTGGGGCTAAGAAGATTCAACTAGAAGCTGGCATACTTCTTTAATTAGGCCATTTCTTTCACATTTATGAGTGGACGTTTTCCCGTAAAGAGGAGCCTCCCTCTGTCAAGCCTCCTTTCCCAGCATCGGCTGGACTCCAGGTTCCTCAGCTCATTGGCTGTGTCCTAACCCATCCTTGCCATGACCCACATTGATGAGGCACAGATGGTCTAAACTTGCTCCCTTCAACCTGCCTTCTGGGCTCTTACCTCTACTTTTTGATGTGACTATACCACTTTTAAGTGATTTTAATGGATATTTTATGTATCACCCCCATCTCAGAATAACAAACAATGAAATAGAATTTGTTATTGTGGCTAAAGGCATCTCCAGTTGTGTCTGCCATTCCCAGTTTCAATAGCCATCCACAGATAATGGGCTCTGCTCTGACTGATGTAAACCGAAAATAAAATTCTAAGACCTCTCAGATGACCGAATGGACCCCCTCTCACTCAGCTGCATTCCAAAGTAAAACTGAAAGATTAGTTTAGGCCATGATGGAAAGAGGGGGTCAGGCATGCCTCATTATACCCTCCTCCCTTTGGAATTCAGAAACAACCCACCAGCTTTAACATTAAAACAGAGGACTTGGGCCAGGCATGGTGGCTCACACCTGTAATCCAAGCACTTTGGAGGCCAAGGCGGGCAGATCACCTGAGGTCGAGAGTTCAAGACCAGCTTGATCAACATGGTGAAACCCGGTCTTTAAAAAGAAAAAAAAAAAAAAAAAAAAAAAAAAACAGAGGTCTTAGGACTGACAAAACAAACTCTTTGTAGCAATAAGATACCAAATTCTGATTTGACTGTAGTATAGTATCCGTGACAGATAGCAGGTCTTGAAAGAAGCATTTTACCCCAAAATATATTCCTTTGATGAATTTTGAAATGGCCCTGCAAAGCCAGCTCTTGCGGGGGTTAATTTGCATTCTGTAGAGAATCCCCTTCCTGTCCCAGGTCTTTCTCTGATCCAGAAGAGAATTAACTAAAAGTCTGGCACCTTTTAAGGTCTGATAAGAGACATCTACCATCTATTCTCTCAGAAGCCTGCTATCTGGAGGCTTCATCTGCATGATTAACCTTGGTCTCCACAACCCCTGATCTTAACCCAGACATTCCTTTCTACTGATTCCAGGTCTTACGGTAACAATTTAACTCTTTCAACCAGTTGACCACCAGAAAATCTTTAATCCACCTATGACCTGGAAGCCCCCACTTCGAGTTGTCCTGCCTTTCTGAACCAAACCAATATACACCTATGTATATTGATTGATGTATGCCCGTAACTGCTATCCCCTTAAAACGGATGGTATTAAGCATAAACCACCTTGGCACATGTCCTCAGGACCTTCTGGGAGTGTATCACAGGACTCAGTCATGCACATTTGGCTCAGAATAAACTCCTTTAAATATCTTACAGAATTTGGTTCTGTTTGTTGACACTGAGGGTGGGGAGTGAAAGGGCAAGGAGCAAGCACCCCCACCCACCTGCTCCTGGCTCTTTAGAATCGTCAGCGCCCTAAAGCGGAACTTGTCCCTGCTGGCCTTGTTGTACTCCTTCATGGCGAACCAGAGTGCCTGCTGCACATAGACGTAGTTCGGAGGGATATCTTGGAATGTCCTCACCACCTTCACTGAGCCCCAGGCGTGGACTCCTCTGGACACAAGGGCCACAGTGGCTACCAGCAGCAGCAGGGCCTCGCAGAACCTGGCCATGGCGCCTCAGCCAAGGATCACAGGCCAGGCACCATCTACCCTTTCAGATGCAGAGATACCGACACCCCAGCTCCTCTTGGCACTGCCGATTAAAAGGAATGAACTTCGGTTAACACAGCGGTGATACTGTAATAGGATTAGAAATATACATTTGGTCTTCACCCCAGGTTTCTAGCAGGAAGCATCTAAAACCCTTGCTATCTCCTGAGCGGTTGAGATGTGATAGTAGCATCTCAGGGGTTGAGAAGGGTGATTTCTAATATGCGCTTTTCAACCCCACTGAGTGTATGCTAAGGAGGTGACTCCTCCTGGGTCTTCTCAGCCCCACCCTCCACATCCAGGGAAGAAAGAGGGGCCGAAGATTGAGTTAATCACCAGCAACTGGTGAATTAATCAACCATGCCTATGAAATGGAGCTTCCACGAAAGCCTCAGAAGGATAGGGTTGAGAGAGTTCCTTAGGCGCTTCATGTGGCTTATGTAATCATTGCTATCCCCTGTGGGGGCTGTTTAGTGAGTAACCCCTTTATGCAGGAGGAAAATGGCACATATCAAGAGATCAAGAGAGCACCTAAGCCTACTTGATGGAAGCATCCACTCTTTCACTCGGGGCCTGCCCTTCCCCCCACCTTGTAACCTGCCTCTCGGTCTAAGAGATGCACACATGTAGGCAACAGCTTGGAATGTACACTTGCTTTTGAGGATATCCAGTTCTACTACAGAATATAAATGAGCATGCAGTTTTTAAGACAGGCAAACCAGTTAAGGTGCGTTAAGTATAGAGAGTGAGCAAATACAGATGTCCACAAAAGTGGTAAGCTGTGTTAATGAAAGGTGTGTGGAAGTAGTGTATATCTAAGTTGAACACAGAATGTGATGGCAAAACTAAGAGGCACCTGATCCATCAGCACTAAATATAAGCGAGATACACACAGCCAGAAGATTCATGAGATCTTAATCTGGCCACCCTCTGTTGACGTCATTCTGGCACCCTACATGCTCTTGCCTAGAAATGCAAATCAAGTCCTCAGCTGTGCAGGAGGCTCAGCAGCTGGGCGGGGCAGCCCTGCCTGCATCTGTTTATAAACCAGTGTGTGTGACTGACAAGCACCTTCAATTCCAGGACTCTTGCCCAAACATCCACCATGGTCCTCCAACCCTACCATTAGCCGGGAGCTGATGTGGCTGAGAGAGACAGGAGTTGTGAACACGGAGGACCCAGGGCCAGGTGGGGGTCTCCTCACCATCACCCCACTTCCCTGTGCTTTAAGCGCATTGACCTGTCCACCCTCTTCGCACTTCTTATTTTACACTGATCTGACACTGGTGGGCTTCCAGAAGCTCACTCTGACAAGTAAGCCTTTCTGCTCCATGGTCTCTGGATCACCCTCCAGGGTGGGCTTGGAGGCCACTCTGGCACCCACACCACAGCTACACCACGGGCCCACCTCAGATCCAAGTTCTTCGCCGAGTTCCTAACTGCAGGTCCTTGAGCCAACCGTCCCGACTGTCCCCTTCTTCCCGAGGACTTGGGCTAACTGCTGGCTGCCCCTTGGCTGTTCTCTGCCCCCAGCACGCTCACTTCATGCCCCTGTGCCTGGTCAGAGTGTCTGCTGGGGTCTGCACTCCAGGGGCTTCTGCTCTCTGGCTCCACTCCCCAGCCAGGTGGTCACACCCAAGGCCCCTTTGTGAGGTCAGCCCAGCCCCTCTGATGCTGCTCAAGTGAAGGGCGCCTCTGACCACTGGCAAAACCAAGTCCCTCACCCTTGTCCCACACCTGCTGACTTTCTAAACTTCTGTACTCTGGACTGTGCTAGGTACACGTGACAGCACCTCGATGGCCATGATGGCCATGTCTTTCAGAGCCCCATTATGCAATGCCACGGTCCAAGAAGCAGAAGGAGCCACCGAAGAGCCAGGCTCAAGGACTTTGGGACTAACAGGTCTTCAGGAAGGCACCTGGCCAGGAGCTAAGGGGCCACCAGCTGACAAGAGCTGCCACCAGACACGCCAGGTAGAAGGTGTCAGATGTCAATGGCCATGCCAGCCTCAGCTACCTCTGTGGAGTGAGCGGTGTAGCCCAGAAGAGCCAGCACAGATGCCTCCCACCTATCAGCCCTGTCGTCCCCCATCTTGTCACATGTCCCAGGTGAGCATTCCTGATTCTGCTTACTTGGGACACAGTTCTCTCCCCTGTTTGTGATCTCAGGACCTGCCACCTATCTTCAAGCCAGGTTCCATGGAGGAGCAGAACTCCATCCTACCCTGCATTTAGGGCCTGCCTCGGTGACAGTAGGGAAGCTCCCAAGAACTCAAAAGTCTGGAAATTAATATTTCTCTTTGCAAGATAAAATACAGACCAGCCCAAAGCACATCAGACCTGAGATCCAGTTCCAAACAGAAAGTCAGGCCTGAGAATCCCTGGGTTAAATGTTCAAGTGTTTGAAACTGAATTGGATGCTCAACTGGGGAGCCCTTTCTAAGCAGGTACAACACACAGAGGTCAACGGAAAAGAATAATAAATCTGGCTACACATTTTGTATAGGGTGCACACGCGCATAAACACACATACCCTGACACACACACACCACAAAGACCCAAAAGGAAAGGGAACACCGAATAAGTCATTTAGAGCCTATTTGATAAAGGGCTAAATTCTCTTTTATGGAAACAGCACTTTAAAAGACAGAAGAAAAAGACAGTTTCCTCAATTGTCTTGGCTCAAAGTGAACCAAGAATTCAAGCAGACAATCTACCCACAAGAAATTCATTTCCCTTCTTGGCCACACATCAATTGCCTGAAAACAGTTGGCCCGTGGTGACACCTGACTCCAACTGCCCCGCCGATCCACCTATTACCTGATGTCTTGTGCCCAAAGCAGAACACAAGTGTCCACGGAGGTTTCACTCTGAGAGCCGAGAGACACCTGCGTCCTCCACCCCACGTTCCACAGGGGAAGGGGCCTGGTTAAAGGAAAAGGAGGGAGGTGGTGTTTGTTGAGTGCTGTGATTGGTGTGGACCCACAAGCCTGCAGGGGAACCAGAACTCTCCTGGGCTCCTTCAGGGCTGGGGGTGGGGCCCCTTAGAGGTTCCAGGGCCTTTGCGTGGGCCCCAAGGCGTAGGGACAGGAGGCAGCCCTTCTCGCCTCTTGGCATAGCTCCTCCTTCCTGTCAATGTTCACATCACCAAACACGCTCTAAGGTGGGGTCATCAGGACCACAGGCGCTGGGTGCTCCAGGAACTACTGCCTCATAGAAAGCATTTTACTTTGCTCATGAATCACGATAACCAGGATTTTAGGAAGGGCCCAGATAGGAAAGTCCTAGGAGGTGCAGGCCAGGAGCAGCTGGGACCACCATCATCCACAGCAGGAATGGGCTCCCTGATAATGAGGAAGGGGTTTTTTATTTTTTGTTTTTTGTTTTTTTTTTTTGAGACCGAGTTTCGCTCTTGTTATCCAGGCTGGAGGGCAATGGCGCGATCTCGGCTCACCGCAACCTCCGCCTCCTGGATTCAGGCAATTCTCCTGCCTCAGCCTCCTGAGTAGCTGGGATTACAGGATTACAGGCACGTGCCACCATGCCCAGCTAATTTTTTTGTATTTTTAGTAGAGATGGGGTTTCACCATGTTGACCAGGATGGTCTCGATGTCTTGACCTCGTGATCCACCCGCCTTGGCCTCCCAAAGTGCTGGGATTACAAGCTTGAGCCATCGCGCCCGGCCGAGGAAGGGGTTTTATAACGGATTTATCCACAGGTGATTCACACACTGTAGGACTCACCTGTTTAAGCATACAAGTCAATGACTTTAGTATATTCACAGAATTTCAGAGCCAAACCACAATCAACTTTACAACATTTTTGTTACCTTAAAAAGAAACCTCAAATGTTTTAGCCTTTCTATGTCAATTTCCCCAACCCCTTTCAGGGCTAGGCAGCCACTAATGTGTGTTCTCCACAGATGTCCCTCTTCTGCGCATTGCATGTAAATTGAATCGCAGTGTGTTATTCTGTCTGGTTCCTCTCACTGAGCATGTTTCCAAGTTTCCTCCAGGCTGTAGCCTATATCGCTACTTGTTATTTCATTATGTTATTGTATAATTTTATTACAGATAATAACCTGCTGTCCAGATAGACCATATTTTATTTATCCACTCAATTAATGAGAAGTAGGGTTATTTTGGCTATTGCTCTGGCTTCTGGGTTGTTTTTAATAAATACTGTTATGATCATTCATGTTCAGACTTTCATGTGGACATATGTTTTTCTGTCTCTTGAGTATATACCTAAAAGTAGAATTATTGGGTCATATAATAACAGTATGTTATTTTTGAGAAACTGCCAGATGGTTTTCCAAAGTAGTTGCATCATTTTGCATTCCCATCAGCAGGGTATGAGGGCTCCAATTTGTCTACACCCTCGCCAACATTTGATATACCTGCCTTTTATATTATAGCCATGCTAGTGGGTATGGGCTGAGACAAGTGGTAAGAATGTGACAAATGTGACACAGGGAATTTTAATTTTCATATCAAAGAGCTCTTATGAGAAAATTGTTTAAAAAGACAAAAATCCAGCCAGGCACGGTGGCTCAAGCCTGTAATCCCAGCACTTTGGGAGGCCGAGGCGGGTGGATCACGAGATCAAGGGATTGAGACCAACGTGGTCAACGTGGGGAAACCCCGTTTCTACTAAAAATACAAAAAATGAGCTGGGCATGGTGGCACATGCCTGTAATCCCAGCTACTCGGGAGGCTGAGGCAGGAGAATTGCCTGAACCTGGGAGGCGGAGGTTGCGGTGAGCCGAGATCATGCCATTGCACTCCAGCCTGGGTAACAAGAGCGAAACTCTGTATCAAAAAAAAAAAAAAAAAAAAAAAAAAAGACAATAGAAAATGTGGAGGAAAGTCATGAACACAAATCACAAGAAAATAAATATAAATGTCTCTGCTACACATGTGCGAATATGGTTATGCTTTCCACAATAAAAATTTAACCC